TTATGTTTACGCGGCGCGGTATAAGACATTATAAGCAGTAATTATGTCCCCACTGGATGCTACAAATGCCTCGTTTGTAATGGGTTTTAATGTTTATGTCTCGTCGCTCCGGCCGGACACGGTATGTGAGGGGCGTAACATTTCCGTCTCACGCTTGAGGTATTCGGCCAATCACAACGCACTGGATAGCTGGCCTATCACAGCACACCTCGCTTTTCAGAACGATTAGCTTTGTAAAAATCGACGCGTTTCAGAAAGGCGGGGCATAGAGGAGAAACAATAATGTACAGTATGTGGAAAATAATGTGTTTTTTAACCTTAAACCGCATAAACATTTCATTACACCAAATACACAAAATAATGTTCTTTTTAGCAACATCATATGACCCCTTTAAAAGCCAAAGACTTGTGAAGCGTTTCATTCAACCCAACTGAAAACACAAGTCATGCAACTTACAAATACACAAAGAATTGAAATTGTGCTGTTTTTAAGTTGTTAATAACTTAGCACAAATCAGAAGTAGTAGAAAAATCTTGTGTTTCAGAACTGCATCTTTGCAACATGATGTTGTGTAATACATTTAGGTCCTCAACAATTTTTACATCCTTTGAGAAACTGATTAGTCTCACCTGGCGATCATCTCTGGAGTGAGTTCTGTCTCTTGTTTGGTGATGGTGGTACTGAAGCTGCTGCCTTTAGTGATCCAGTATGACTTAACCGTCCTGAAATTAAACATTCACACATTAACAAATTAGGAATACATTATACTGTTTTCCCATTAAAAAATAATTAAAAACAAGGGTATATTTCGCATAATATATGCATACTTCCATGATTTGTGTCCAATTGTACTTTACAAATATACTTTAATAACAACATTTAAATAACATTGTTTTTCCACAGTAAAAAAAGAGCTTTTTGCATTGTAAGCTGCTGAGAATGTTTAAATATGAGAAAGTTCAAATAAATTTGGCAGAAAATACTTTCTGTTTTAATGAGATTCATCCTAGCGGCACTCATTATCGTCAAAATACATGTTTTCTCCTGTAGTATAGACTATAGACGACTCTTTCGTCTCTCACCATGAGTTCATTCTGCGGCAGACCCTTGTCTGGGATGGCGTTGAACACTCGGGCTTCATGACTGCCCTGCTCCGCGATCTCACAGCCCTCTCCTGTCAGCTCCCAGCGTTTGGAGGACTTCTGCTCCGCCGAGATCACCTGAGAACGGGATTCAAACAGGTTAAGACAGAGAAACAATCACAGGTTTCTATTACAAAGCAGCATATACTGATAATCATAACCTCAGAGAAACTAACAAGGGTCAAGAAAAACAGGAATGTTCTGCAAATGTACAATAATATGCTACAAAATACAGGCCCTCTAAAAGAGTTGCGACGTGCTTAATGGCATTTTACAGTAATATATGACAAAACATAGATAGATAGATAGATAGATAGATAGAGAGTCACACAAACAGACGAATAATATAGATAGACGGACAGACAGACACAGATATCCTAACTATGTTTCGCTTATATCAACAGTTATTTTGACAGGTCTGTAAGATGACTTCTTTGTAATGCGCTGATCCGCATGATTTCGGTGATGAACACACAGATCATGGGGATCGGATGGGTCCGGTTGGTTTGCGCCGCTGTTGCATCAGTCAGAGCGGACTCACCTCACCCAGCGCCTGCAGGCTCTTCACCGCGCCGACGATCAGCTGATGATCCACCCCGAGATCCGCCGCCACATCCTGACTCTCGATGCCGCCGTCCACCTTCTCCAGCAGCCGTAAGAGTGCTTCTAAAAGCCCGGTGTCAGCCATGCTGGAGTCGCCTTGCGCTCGGATGGGGAAACGGACATGACGTCACGTCAGCCGTAAGCGCCGTAACAAAAACGCGGCACATTATTTTACCGTAAACCAGGAAGAGCGGCTCTGTATTTATTATTAAACTTTGAAACACTGATGTTGCTGTCGTTACCGGAGTTTTCAATAAGGGGTCCGCAAACATTTATTACAAATATTCTGAACATTTAGAAAGGCTCTGTATTACTAACGTTACACCATTAAACACAAAAGATTTGTATATACATTATTATTACTATTACCGGCGTTTTCAATTGTGGCGTCCACAAACATGTATTTATTAGAAAAAAAACGTATGTGTATTTAGAGCGGCTCTCTATTACACTTTTTAACAAATCATTAAGTTTTCAATAGCAAGTTTCACAAACCTTTTTTTTTTATTTAAAAATCTGTATATTTAAGCAGATCTATATTTATTACACCTTCAAACATAAAAGATTTGCATTATTATTAGCACCAGCGTTTTCAATCGCATTCACATTGGTTTATAAAACAAAACACTTTTTACATCTTAATGTATTTTCAGGTTTAGATTTCATTACATTTTGAATACCAGATTTCAATGTGACTTTTGGATCAAACTGTATGTATTATGTTTAGACAACTATAAGCAAAATACCTGGAGAAGTGCATTCAAAAACAATGCAGAGATCGGATATCCTCCAAAATAAAATCCTTTATTACAAACACCACACATTCTTTAAACATTGTCCGGAAAATTAAGGTCCCCCACCCAAAACAGCCAAATGCTACAACGACCTGACACATCACAACTTTCACTATCACATAACCATTTAAAACAATGTCACATGTGCATTCATAATTTAAAAGAAAAGCCTACCATTACAGGCAAAATCATGAAATGTTGCTGGTCAAATAGAGAAAAAGGGAAGAAAAAAAATCATAAAACTAATGATTTACAGCTTGAGACTGATTCATCTTATATTTTTACGCATGTGTGAATGGTTAAAATCACTCAAGGACAGAGCATCCTGTCACTGCATATTAACAAATTATCAGGTCCTCACATGCGTCGCTTTGGGTCTATATCACTTCTCCCGTTGAGGGCAGTAGTTTGGGGGAGTTCACAGAATTGAACTAAAAAAAAATAAAAAATACACAAACTTCAAAAGAAACATGAAAATACACTATTTTGCACAAAGTTTAGAGACTGCTATTATTTTCTTTAGCTCAGGTGCTGGTGATAGAAACCAAAAATTGAGAACGACAGAATCAGAACGGATGATGCTCCTTGTTTGGAAATGATGAGGCAGGACTGCACACAGGGAGGCAGGTTTATCGATACTGGTAGTTCATACTGGGATCACCCCGGCCGTACCCTGCTGGTCCAGTGTTGTAGGAGGCGGAGCTACTGCTGAAATTCTGGTTGGCTCCGCCCTGTGAGCTGTAGTTTGACTGGTTGCTGTAACCTATGAGAGAGACCAGATCAGAATTAACACAACAACAACATTTAAAACAGAGTTAAAACCCATTCACACCAAGGATGATAATCGTTCTAAGACCACAGCTATAACAATAATGACACAATATCATTGGAATCACTTTCAGAACATTTTTTCCCCAGCTGATTCATGATAAAATCATTGACAGGCAATAAGAATCTACCCAGGTTTAAAAAAACTTGAGCATTTAAAGCAATAAACTATGTATCTGCAGCACACTTATAAATAACACAACATTGGTATGGACGCTAATATAATTGCCATTTTAGTTCTATGGGCCTTAAAGGAATAGCTCACCCAAAAATGAAAATTTGCTGAAAATTCACTCATCCTCAAGCCATGCAAAATTAGTTTCTTCATCCGAACCGATTTGGAGAAATTTAGCATTATATTACTTGGATCCTCAGCAGTGAATGGGTGCCGTCAGAATGAAAGTCCAAACAGCTGATAAAAACATCACAATAATCCACACCACTCCAGTCCATCAGTTAATGTCTTGTGAAGCAAAAAGCTGCATGTTTGTAAATAAATTCATCAATAAAGTGTTTTATCTTCAGACCATCACTTTTGGCCAATATATGAGTCCATCATAACGCTTCCTCCAGTGGAACAGTTCATCCCTTGTTCTCTCGCATCAAAATCCACCAACATGTTGTTTAGAGCTGCTTTTGGACTGTTTTCACTTGTACACAGTGTTTGATCTGTGCATATTTCTCTCCTGATTCAGAAGACAACTTTTTCACTGGAGAAAGCAATATTATGAACAGAGGACTCATATTTTAGCTGGAAGCAACAGTTTAAAAGGTAAAATGTCTTGATGCATTTGTTTCTTACAAACACAACTTTTCATCTCACAAGACATTAACTGATGGACTGGAGTTGTGTGGATTACTTGTGGATTATTGTGATGTTTTTATCAGCTGTTTGGACTCTCATTCTGACGGCACCCATTCACTGCAGAGCATCCATTGCTGAGCAACTGATGTAATGCTACATTTCTCCAAATCTGTTCTGATGAAGGAACTAACTCATCTATATCTTGGATGGCCTGAGGGTGAGTACATTTTCAGCTAGTCTTAATTTTTGGGTGAACGATTCCTTTAAGACTCCCAAACTTGTAACTCGGACTGTTTTTCTCACCTTCATAGCTGTAGTCCTGTCCTCCGGTCACTTGTGAGGGATAAGCAGTGCTGTAGTTGAAGTTTCCACCTCCTCCTCCACCACCACCTTGAGCCTGGCCGAAGTTCTTCTTCTGTCCGAAGCCCTGGCCGTACTGACCGAAGGAACCCCCTTGGCCCACTCCGGATCCTTGAGGCTTGGTGTTTTGGTGCATGGGCGGCTTATTACCGGCCGGTTTTGGGGTTCCAGTGGGGGACGAGTAGCTGCCATCACTCTGGTAATACGAGCCGAAACCACCCGCCCCTGCAGCACCTCCAGAAGACAGGTTTGTGCCTGGACCTGATGATCCAGGACCTGAGGCCACCGGTCCATCATTAGACCCTCCGTTATTATAGAAATCTGAAGAGGAATAATACAGTAAAGGTTAACAAATGGGCATTCAATTCTAACTCAATTCACACTATAAAACGGAATGCTTATACAGAATCAACATATTACTGGCTTTTAAGGAACAAACCTAAAAACTTTTTGCTGTACATTGAAACTTGATACAAAATATACATCAATTCAGGGTAATCTTTAACTTAACACTACCAAAAATTTAATTAAATGGGATATGATGTCTTGAAGTCTCAGTTCACACATTTCGACGCGAGTTACTGCCCCAAGCTTCAATAAAACCACTATCTGCATTTTCTGGCTTTGAAATAGTAAAAGTGTCACACTACACTTTTGTCAATTTACTTCCATTTAAACACATGCGAATGCAAGAGAGCAGAAATGCAAGCTTTTGTTAAAATGTTTCGCATTTCGCTGCTCTACAAAGTTCGAGTTTGGACCTGCGAATTAATCAAACAAGACGTGACCAATAGAAGATCGATACATCATGGTTAAATTAAAAGAACACAAAGTGGAGTATTAGCCTATACAGGGCTCCAGACTCATTCTTCCCACTGGTCGCTCTTTTGCAACTAACTTTCTCAGCTGGTCGCACGAGCACATGATTTGGTCGCAATATTTCTTTATATATTTTTTTGCGCTACAACATGGGATTATTCAATGCATGCTGATGAACTTTTATCATAGTTTATAGTTATATGGAAACGAAAGTGGTTAACATTCAACCCCATCTTTTTCATCAGTATTATTTGTGATTTAAATTTTGTGAACGGGAGTTTCCCGTCATGTTATAAGCCGGGCTTCGGATGCTTCCGCGATAATCGGCATAATCGCCAAAGCCCAAAAACAGACAATTAATCGCAACAACCGTGACTATTTTTTAGACAATTAATCGTCAGCCAAATTTGACAGCCCTAGTTATACGTTGAATTTATGTTTCTAAAAAAAAAAAAAAAGGTGCTATAGTTTGTCATATCATGAACGCTGCACTGTCTGCAACAATTTTGCATGCTGAAAATTTAGTGTGACTTCAGCTTAATACCAATTTAGTTTTCTAAAACATGTTACGAGTGGTTACGAAAGCAATTGCAGTAATAAATACTGGCTTTGCATATCTATACAAAGATTTTTTTTGGATTGAATAGAAGAGGCCAAAAGCTCTTTGCAAAACACTAAAAGAGAGAAACTGTTTTCAATCGTAATACTAGCTAAACAAAAAATAAAAAAATACAAAATCAAAAAAAGCCCCTAAACCTATGCAAATCTGTTTAATTTCCAATAAATAAATAAATAAAAACTATACTAATAATAAAAATTTACATAGATATCACAGGTTTGTAAATTAAATCAATTTATTGCAAAATATGATGTAATTCACAAACATAAAATTTAAAAACAAAAATGCAGCAAATGTACCCCATTTTTTCAATAGTTCACAGAATTGATAACATTGATTTTAAAAATCTGTGCCTACTCCTCACAAACCCAGTTTCTCACAATCAATCAATGGCATTGACCACAATTAAAAAAGAAAACTAAATAAACTTAAAAACATGGCAATGTACGGAAGTGCCATAATTAAAAATCCATCGGGAGCATTATTCCAGGAAAAACAACTAAACTGTTGGCAAAAAATGGCTTATACAGTGACTTCAAAGTGAAGATGCAGTCATTATGAAATGTCAGTCCGCTACTTTGTGACCATCCATCAGCCAATCACATTGCTCGGCACAAATAATACATCAAAACGTCTTGCTTTTCTTGATTTCCACAGGCAGAAACTCCCGTTCACATCCACAGTGTTAGTTGATCGTTGGTGCAGGTTTTTTGAGGTGAGATTGTGGGCGAAACATCACAAGGAAACGAGTTCATAATGCGGGTAACCAGTGTTTTTTTCCCCTCTGTCTCTATTTGTCGTTTCACATTTGCGTGCCTTATTGAAAACATTGGGCGGTTTATGTCGCAAACTCGTGGTAGCCATAGGAGTCTGAGACAAAGTCACCTAAAGGGTGAGACAGAGCAGAGAAGCACAGAATTAGACGTCTTCTGTGTTTGGCATGCCATGACAAACGTCACCGGGCATGAGTCAAGGATGTCAATCAGTTATCACCAAGGTCAAAGATAGTTTTCTGTGTGTTTTTTTTTTTCTTTTTCTTTTTTAGATTTCTCTGCTCCGGTCACCCTCAAGAAGGTCTTTCCTCAGAAAGTGGCTTTGGCATGTTGAGAACATTTCTCGTTTTTCGCCGAGGAAAGTTTGCATCCCATGGCACAACAAAGCAGAGAAATGTAAAATCAAAAGGAAAATACAATAGCGGACACTCGCATTAAAGACATCATTAACACATCCCCAAAACTAGCAGAGGAGCAGTTTAAATAGATCCAGAGCAAAGTGCACAGACTTCTTAACTTGAGATGCAGTCAAAAATAACAGCGGAAATTAAAACGGCAACTTGTGCCATAAAGACAAGACGTAGAGTTAAAAAAAAAAAAACTACTTAGACAACAATGCTAAAAGATACTAAATAAAAAAAGAAACAAGTAGATTCAATGGCACCAGTGAGAAATAGGAAAATACTCACTGTAGCCAGAGTTGTTATTGCCGCCATATCCATACGTTCCATATCCACCTAAAAGGGGACAAGGAAATAGATAAGAATATTTATGTTCAAATGCAAATCAACAGGACTTTTGTTTTATTAGACACAATTAGAGGCATAATTCATGTATAAATCATAGCACAAGGAAGCCATTAATTATAAAAAAAACAATATTTAGGGTTGCAAAATTTCACCACTACTTTGATAAACTACTTTAAATTCATAATTCAGACAACAAATATATCTGAAAAGTACCATGTTTCAACCAGTAAAGATATGGTCACAAATTTATGAATTCTCACTATTTGACCATTTAATTAATGCCATAAATATTCATATCAAAGTATATTTTAAAAATACTGCATTAATTTGAATACTACGATTTATATATATCAATGAGAATTAGGGCTGTCAAAATGGCTGAAAAACTAAATTCGAATTTTGTACTTAAATATCATCAAAATTCGAATTATATTTGAATTTAAAATGCATAATTTCAGTTATGGTGAAGAATAGCTTTTGACTTCTCTTCTGAGGCCACAAGAGGGCGCATGGAGCGAAATATTACTAATGGACGTTCATTCAAAGCATAAGATAACGACTATCTGTGAAAAAAAGTGCATAATGTTTAAAATAATGTTTATAAACTAATTAAGTTGCTTAAACAGCATCATGTATGTATGCATAGTTTAATACAAAGAGTGGAAAACCAATCACACAGAGTACATTTTTCATTTAAAAACATGAGATGCAGTGGGATGGGGAAAAAAACCCTGCCATAAATTCTCGATATATGGTTTTTTCAAAGTTGAACTTGCATTAATTTGACATGGCTTTCTAAACATGCGGCTCTATTGTGCGAGACGTGAGTGCAACGCTGATAGATGTCCCTCTAGAAAGTGCGAAATATGCATTCTGTGTGAATGGCTTATAGTAAAGAAGATCTCCGCATTGATGTTCTCTTTTTCCGCAATATTTGTAATTAACAACATAGCAGCGCCGCATCTAGTGGCTTCAACTGGATAGGCTAACAAAAACATTATAATGCAACGACACTTACATCGTCATCGCATCTCGTGCGCCACGATAAGGCTGCCTCCTTAACGCACACCTAAAATTCGAATGCAACATTTTTCATTCGAACGTGGATTTTTATTTGAAATTCGACGAATATTCGAAATTCAAATTTTTTTTTGACAGCCCTAATGAGAACGCCAAAACAGTACTCAAAAACAGATGGGAAAAAGGTTATATATGGTACCATTCCTTGAATAGGCTTAATTGTGTGAGAATAATAAATGTGAGAGAAAGCTTGAGCCCTAATAACCAGTTTGCATTTATGAACTCAACTTTATGTACACTCATAATTTCAGGGAATTTCATGCTTTTTCCCCCATCACTATACACAAATCAGTTTTTGTAAACATCAAATATCAAACACTTATTTTGCATTTGTTCCAAGTGTAAAAAAATGAAAACCCTTATATATTATAATTAATGAATCTTCTTTAGAATTTAATTTAATCATTTTTTACTTGCATCCAAAAAATGCCCACAAGTTGCTTATTAATTAAAATGTATTGCAATCTGTGATTACATTTTGGTCTTCATGAGCAACTATTTGGATACATGTTGGTAAAAATCTTTGGTACCTCGTCAGTGGGGCTGTCTGTGGTTGGTGCTGGTTCTGGCTCCATTTGGGTCACAGTGGGCAAAGTCTCCTGTGTGGTCATCGGCTCCTCCTGTTTCACTAGTTCAGCTACCTTTTGCTCCAATCCTGTTGGCAGACCCATATCCTGCAAGACCTGGAGAAGGAATTAAAAAATTAAGTTTCTACCGTTTTAGACCGATTCAGTAAGACAAATAATTGATCTTCTGCATCACGGTCTCTTACTTTGACAGCTACGTGTAGTTTGGCAGTGCGTTTTGAGGGACCAGAAGCTTCAAAGTTCTTTCCGTCCACCTCTACGGCCATAGTAAACACCGGCACATGAACGGGCCCAGTCTGAGAAATGAGTTTGTACTGCAGACCCGGCTTCAGCTGGTTCAGACGCATCAGGGCATTCATGGCCTGTGGCGGCTCTGCCTTCTCCTCTGGAGCTGAAGGCCAGAAAACAAGGTATGTTTTATGTGCAAAGCTCTGCATAACTCCACTATAAGCAGATTAAGAACACCTGAACAGCATTTACATTTCTTTTGCAATTTCTTCTTCTTCTTGTTTGGATTCTTCTCATCAGTAGCCTCCTCGTCCTCTATGGGGCGTTTCATTGGCGGCATGTAGGTTGTGCTGGGTGGGATTTGAACTATGGAGATAAAAGATGACAAAAGTCAAGTTTCTTGCTTCCAAATAGATAGATACACAAAACATCCATGAAGTAATGAAAAATGTCCACTTTCACTCACTTTTACCTGTGTAGTCAATAGGTGTCTCACTCCTTGGTTTTCGGGGCACTTTTGAAGGAAGCGGGTCCATGCCGAGTACTTTGTGCAGCTGTCCAAAAGCTGAAAGCCTTAAGGCGTGCTGTCAACCAAAAAATGAAAACGTCACCCATAACGCTCAAATGAGATCTCCAAGCGATCAAATGCAAAACTGTAATAAAAACGGTACATTGTGGACAAACCTGAGCACTCTGGGTGATGTCCTCCCGCTGCTGGCGATCCATGTGACTGATGGCATCCGTTGGCTCCTTTTCGCAAGGGTCACAAATGCCTGAACCATCTAAAGCAGATAGATTCACATTCAAATTAAGCAATTTTAAAAGCATATTTGTAGTATTCTAGACTTCTCGGGCCTACATAATGCTGATTGGTCAATAGAACACAATATGATATGCTATAATGTGAACAGTGCACTCAAAAATGGTCTTTCATACTGTATTTTGATATACTGACAGGCAGTCATTTTGTAATCTGTTTTAGATATGAAGTGTGGAGCTGACTTACCAGCCATTAGGATTCCAGATGCGAGACACTCGAGAACTCTACGGAGAGCTTCTCCTGCTCCCATTGGCCGATTCCCAGTGCCAATCGCCTTCTCGCACAGCAGCTCTAAGGGCTTCAAGAAACAACAGCTACATCAGATAGATGCCAACATCTAAACGTTTGCCTATATTATTTTTATCTAAAAATAATTAACAGGGAGAAAAAAAAAGACCAATGCTTGTAGAAAAAATTATATCACATTAATTCTTAAATCGTCACGAGGAATCAACATTTGATATGAAAAAATTTTAAAACTACTAAAAGAGCTTACTTTTTCCTCGAATATTTAACTAAATTGTAATAAAACAAATTAATCCAAATTAAAATCAGCCTTTTTTGAAAACTATATAGTAGGGCTGTTAATCGATAATTTTTTTTAAATCGAATTAACGGCATAATGTGATGATTAATCAAATCGCACAACAGCTCCGCTGTGGCTTTTTTTAGAACTACTTTCATTGGCAAAATTGAGCAAAAACACAAAACTGACAATATTTTGTCTAAAACACAATATTAACTTCTTGTTTATTAAACTTCATAACTAGTAAACAATCGCACAGATATTGAAGAAAATGTGTGGGTGTGTTAAATACGTTAATTTTAATGTTATTCATTATAATCACATCAAATTAAAGCATTAAATTGACAAAAACGTGTAAATGGTAAATTTAATGCAATTCACTTATTGAGTCTACATTTCAATGCAAAAATAAGTAAGAAATGTTAAAACTAAAAGATAAATCATAAGACATGCTACAACAGCATGCATGTTTACAATCCCCCCCCCCTCTCTTGCATGGCAAGCCAAACCAAAGTTCATCACAGGACAACTTTTGGCATTTCTGATGTAGACTATATATACATAGCTATGGCTTATTGGGAGGGCCAGCTCTTAATTTTTGTGATTAGAATGAATGGTCATTATCTATTAATGCAGCACTGTTTCGTGCCACAATGTAAACAACACAATTTTACACCAGCTTTTGTTGCAATTTAAATATCAGCCACCCCTATATTCTCGGGTTGTTTTGTACTTACCCATCCTCGCAGAGGGGCCCAGGTAGGAACACGCGCACAGAGGTCCCTCAGGATACGGATGACAATCACACAGGAGCGTAGTCCATTAGCCCTGGCCTAGAGACAAAAGCAGGAGGGATACAATCCAACGGTTTATCTCATGGAATCATAATGTGGCACAACACCACAGCAATAAACAAACAAAGAAAAGGGGTGAGATTTGCTGATATTGAATAATGTGTCGATAAGCATTAGCAATGTAGAAAGGGTGGCAAATGGTTAAGTTACCAAAAAAAAGCAATTACTCAGTTGAGAAGCTACATATATGACGGATATTAAGAGAGCAGATTAAAAACGTCGAGCTCAAGAGATGAGGAACACAACAGGACTTGTGTTTGTGGCTGGCCTTGCGATCAGATATTAAAGGGCTAGTTCACCCAAACATTAAAATGAGCTTGTGTTTTACTTACCCTCGAAGCATCCTAGGTGTATATGACTTTCTTCTTTCAGACGAATCCAGTCGGAGTTATATTAAAAATTGTCCTGGCTATTCCAAGCTCTATCATTGCAGTCAGCGGGTGTTGCAGTTGAACAGTCCACAAGTCGTCAAATAAAGCGCACGCATCCATAATAAAACGTGCCTCTCACGGCTCCGGGGGGTGAATAACGGCCCCCTGTAGCGAATCCATGTGTTCTTTAAAGAAAAATATCCATATTTCAAACGTAATAAGCAATTTTCTCTCACTTCCGCTGACTGTCATACACTGAAGCAGTTCCGGCGGATGACACAGCACATATGCGCATCTGAGATATGCTAGTCTCGCGAGTTTGTTTAATAGGAGCAAAGGAAGCAAAGTTTCCTTACTTCAGCAAAGGAAAACCAGTCTCCTCTTGGTTTATATCGAAATACTCCCGACATTTTTCTTTGCAAATCCTCGGTTTGTACTTCTAATTCGTTACCGGCGTTTTGTTTTGTTCTTTCTCCGCATTCGTCACTTATCACGCAACGCTGACGTGCTACGTCATCCGCCGGGAACTGCTTCAGTGTATGTCAGCGGAAGTGAGAGAAAAGTGTTTATTACATTTGAAATATGGATATTTTTCTTACAAAAACACATGGATTCGCTACAGGGGGCCTTTATTCATCCCCCGGAGCCGTCTGCGGCACGTTTTATTATGAATGCTATGCGAATATTATGAAATTTTAATATAACTCCGACTGGATTCGTCTAAAAGAAGAAAGTCATATACACCTAGGATGCTTCGAGCGCAAGTAAAACACAGTCTAATTTTCATTTTTGGGTGAACTAACCCTTTAAATATCAGAACTTATTTGATACAAGCGAGAATGTACTAGAAGATACAAGATATGGATTAAATCTGGGAAATGCAGCTGCTTTTTAAAGCACTGCATGACACCAGTGAAACCATGAATACACTGATATGGTGGAAAAAGGTGCAATATTCCTTTTTGGCATAAATGAAAGCTGACAGATATTTGCAGGGACCTGCATTAAATATCTAAAACTTACAACAATGTTCTGGGTTCAATACAAGTTTTAGAGGCGGCATCTGTGGCATAATGTTAATGCAATAAAAACAAAAAGTGTCTCATAGCCCAGAAAGGTAATATTAAGTAATATTACAATTTAAAATACGTTTTAATTTATTTTATACAAGTTTATATGCATATAGTCTATTTCTATATATTTTATCTTAGATTTTTTTTTTTTTTGAAAATTTGATTTTTTTCCCCAGGGTTCTTTAAAAAAAGAGTTCAAATTGAACAGCATTTATTTGAAATAGAAATCTTTTGTAAAATTATCAATGTATTTACAGTCACTTTGTGACCTTGCAGAATAAAAGGTATTAATTAATAACTTTTAAAATCTATTCTAAATGTTTATTTCTAAATTTCATTTTCTATAATAAATGTAAAAATGTTAAAACAGTTCACATGAATGTTTTAAATGCCATGTTTTTTTCCTACTAGCCAGCCAAATAATCCCCTTCTAGTTTCTTTCCACATCTTATACAAAAGCTACAGGGTTTGCTGGCTTTATACCAAAAGGACAAGAGTTGAGATACTAGATATAAATATACTTTTGATAAGTTGTGTATTTTTAGGTTTTTTTCTCCTGTCTGTATTCCATTATAGCAATACAAAAAGTCAAAATTAATTGTGGCAATCAATATTACGCAAAAAAAGCTGATGACTCAAATTAAATTGCACTGAACCCAGAACATTCCTATGAAGGACAATTCGAATGATATTGGGAAAAAAATATTCTCCAGCGAAGCGTCAAATAGTATGGCGGGCTGCAGAAATACTGCACATCCCATTTGCACTGAAATACTTGAATTGTAAAAAACTGTAAAAGCGGCAGTTGATACTGGCAATGGCGTCTCAAAAAGGTAATAAACAGTTTATCGATGCGATAATACACTTAGTTAAACTAGCCAGGCAGAGGTCAGACAGCATTGACAAAGATGTCCTTGGCAACGCAATTCATAACCATCCAGCAAGAATATGACATTCTACCGGAGGCAAATATACACTCCCACAAATAAAATCTTCACAGAAAAACACATTCACACAAACAACTGAAAAAATAATACAGCATGAAATAAGGTTAACACAGAAACAAAATAATAACAAACTCAACTACTAGAAGACAAATAAAGACAAGATGCAAACCTGGAACCACTTGGCGTGGCGGAGGGACGCCAAGGCAGTCAGGCATTTCTGCCTGTCCAGTACATCCGGGGGATCGTTGACTGATAGCGTTTCTATTGGCAGGTGGAATAAGAAGACAAGGTACGGTTTGACCAAGGGTTTTTTCTGTCTCACGGCCAGGGGGGGAGGAGGCAGATAACCCCTACCAAAGGCAGTAGAGGGGAGAGGAGGGGGAACCCCCCCAAAATAAGAGCAACCCTTCCTGTGCTAGTACACAACAGCAGGACAGAAATCTACAAGTGGCTGGAGCATCCGGCTCTGTTCCAAACCCAAGTGAGGCTACACTCGACAATAAAAACCATAAATCTAGTCGTTTTCTACTTTATATTATTAACACACATATATTGGACTTGACAGTGAATGAGCTTTTTTATAAAAGCTTAATTAAAATTGCTTTAACATTATTAGAAAAACATTTAATTAAGTAGATCATTTAAATTACATAGAAATTTTACATTTAAACTAAAAACATGTGCATAAACGTTCATGGTACATTCCAATATGTGCACATAAACTAACGCACACAGAAACATTGAGTAAAACAGTCAATTTTTTTTTTCCAATAGACAGAACCACTTATAATGATACTTTTGAATTAACTGATAAAAAATACTTATGTAAAATACCACTTTACATGAAAGTACACCATTTTAGATCAAATTTCGGCACAAAACCATCATAACACTTCGGTTGGTTGGCGTTTCAATGCCATGTCAAATTCCTTGGCAAAGTCACAAGTTGAAATATTATAAAAGAGTCATTTAAAAGCCTATATACAGTTCGCTTTACGTAAACTCTAAAATGGATTAAGGGTTGACTGTTACAAATTTCTGTGAAAGTGTTTTAATAACGCTTTGGATAAAAGCATCTGCCAAAATGCATAAACGTTATTTATGCGCAATGCATCTGGACTAACTATGGAAGACACGTGATGATTTCGTCAACAATTTTCTGCCACTGTCTTCACCTGTGATGCCTCAAGATGGCGTCTAGGTAGGCAGCTCGCTATGATTTGGAACAGAGCCCCTGTGGCTGTATTTTGTGGCATGAAGTGTACAGTGAGTGAATGTCAAAGGGAGGTTCTTCTATGGCTTGAGTATCTGTGAGATCGGAGTGCATTTGTGCATTCATGTGACATGGGGGAACCCCTCCCCCTCGCCCCCTTGTTTTTTTTTCTGGGTGCACTGCCTTGCCCCTTCCGAGACAGAGAGCGTCCAGTTGGTCAAAGGTCCAGCGTCCCTAAAATCGACAAACTAGAAGGCTTGACAGAGAGAATCAGATTTTGAACCACAGGCAGCAGTATTCAGATACACAAGAGGTATGATCAAAACGAGTCCACACTGCAGCAAAACTGATGGCTCGCGATGGTCTAAGGCAGGCATCACTAACCGAGGGGTCACAGATAGGGCTAGGCTTTGAGTTCGGCATCAAGTTCGCTCTCGATTGACCCTTCGCTAAGCCCCGCCACCCTTTGGTTACCTTTGCATTGCTTATACAAGTTTTGCAGGAACCATCCAGATATTTTAAGTGTTATTTTTTTAATAAGATGTGCTTAAATAGTGGTAAAACTTGATTGCATATTTTTATATTAATTGGATTAAATTGTGACAATGCAAAGTATCATAATCATAATAAGTTTAGAGAAAAATGACTAAACTGCAAAGGGAGCAGCTTTATTTAAAAACAATTGTAAGATGGCAATGTCATAGAACATGTCATACAATTGGTAAAGATTTAGCAGCAACATTTTACCATATTTCGGTTTAAAAGCTTCCATAGACCAAAGACCAGAAGTTTGTCTGATAAAATGGAGAATGGCAAAAGCTGCCAAGATTGTAAAAATGGGGTTTAGCCAAAGGTCAATTGTTTTCTTACAGAAACAAGTTATTTCGGTGTTTTCCCTATACAACACTCTAGCCCTGAAAAAGCTCTTTACTAAACTAAAAAAGGGCGCCCACAATTCTCTAAAGTTAACTACAGATCCATTGAGTTACTGTGACCATATATGATCACTCTGGGTCTAATCTATTATGTACGCTGTATCCTAATGTCTAGCATTATCTATAACCCTCCTGCCCTCTGTCCAGCCTCTTTGAGAAAGGCTCTGTCAACAAGTCCTGGCGAACAAACCAGAACTCGACAATACTTCTGCTTCTCATTTTTGCTGCAATGCAAACCGTTCCCTTTCTTCTCCATTATACGAACACATGCAAACAACAAGGTTTGTGATTTTGTTTCTTAATTCTCAGTAAGCCTTCAGTAAACTCTCCTTTTAAATACTTCAAAGGGAACTGGGTCTTATTTAAAGCTTTACCCATCACTTATGTTACTGTATATTGGGCCATCAACACTAACATCACGCTGCAAGGAACTGTGAGACTTCAGGTGGCAGTAAACATAACAATTTGTGTTAAATGACTAGTCTGTACACAATATCCCCAAGCTCCATTGAAGGCCCAATAAACAATATCCCTGCCTGAGTCCATCCCATCTGCATTTGCTGTCTCTGGGGTTGTGGGGTGGTTAGAGAAAGCATAAGGCACTTGATTTCAAACCTACCTCCGGCGGCCTGCTTCTCAGCCTCCTCCCTCACGAGAGGTGACGTCAGGTTAAGGGTGAGGGTCAGCGGTGGCTCCTTGGAGTTCTTGATGACAATGGTGGCATCACGGACGCACGGTTTAACGTCATATTTTTCATCTGTGATGAGCTGTTGGAAAGATATGCATGTTTTTTATTCTGCCTTTGTAAACAATGCTTAAAATCAGAGATGCAGACATACCTTAAGCTGCACAGCGAGGTTCTCTGAAACTTTCTTTAACAGGGTGATGGTGGGTTTGTCTTTGCACAACAGCACAAGCTCCAGATCAAGATCTCCCTTCAGCAGGATGCCTTTAGCTACCAGCCCCACACGCATGACTCCACGCAAAGAACGTGAGGGCTGCTCCATTGACTTTGGTTCACTAGAGAACAAAATATGAGGGGCAGTTACGTGAGAGATACTAACCCACTTCAATAACTAATCATGCAGTCAATATTAAAATTGCATAGTGATCAGAGAAGACAATTAAAACTTCTCACGTCTCTTTCTCGCCATCTTCATCAGACTCCAAGGCATTCACTTTGGCATTTCCTTTCTCCTGCTCGTCCAACCAATCAGAGACAGCCTTGAGGGCACGTTCGGTGTGGGACACCATGTTCTGCACCCCCTCCAGCTCCTCCTGGGTGGGATAGATGGCAGAGTGTTTGGCCATCACATGGCGATCGTCGTTCACAAAGATGCGCATGGAGCGATGACGCATAGGAGGAGGCTTCACGGAACCAAAGAGAGAAAAACATTAATATGACAAAAGGTTGTGAAAGGTTAAACCAAAAGGTTGTGCACATACACTACTGTCCAAAAGCCTGGGTTCAGTAAGATTTTTGTTTTAAGAAATTAATACCTCTATTAAACAAAATGCATTAAACGGATCAAAAGTGGTAAATACATTCATAAAGTCACAATATGTTTCCATTCCAAATAAACACTGTTCTGTTGACTCCTGAAAAAACATGCAAAAGTGGAGAAAAAGTAACTGCCTTTATCATTGATAATATAATAAATGTTTCTTGAGCATCAAATCAGAATATTAGAATGATCTCTGAAGCATCGTGTGACACTGAAGACTGAAGTAATGATGCTGAAAATGCAGCTTTGGTGAGCATAACAGACTTTTCAAAAACACCTAATGTCATACTGATCACGTTTTTGAACACTTGTGTATTAGCAAAATTCAGCCTTTTCTCTTTATATTAATAAACAAGCTTAAGGTAAACAAAAACATCTAATTTTCCTATATGTTTGCAAAAAAGCTGGAAATAATTTTCCAAATCAGGGTGGCTGCTCTGTGTAATTACTGGCATATTAGTATAATTAATTAGTACTATATGGTGCATATTAGCACTAGTCAGTAGATTTAGTGCACTTTGATATTACCATTTTTTTCTAGGAATAAATCTGACTGCAAAAGCATTAAAGTATGTATACTTTACCATAATGGCTACAAAGTGGTTCTTCAGTTTGGCAGCGTTGGTCTATATGTGGCAGATGAATGCTGCTCCAGTTGGTCTGTAATGAAAAGCAATCAGTTTCCTGTATAATAATCAGTCGAAACCTATAATGCAGCAAAAACAAGTCTTTCAAAGTTGTTTTAAAGATGGTGTCAATCAAAATGTAGTACAATGTATAGTTACGGCTTTATTTATTAATTCAGTGTTAATACTAGTTTCATGATACAATAACACCAGTGTCACGGTGTTTAACATTAAGGCTAAAAAAAAAAGGATTTGAAGTAAAATCCCAGTTAGAGCAATTCTGATTCTGCTTCAGATTCCACACAAATCAAGGCCTAATCCATATAATCTTTCTGCACCCTGGGAATTCACAGATCACAGGAGCATCACATATTTAGATCTCCACGGAAATTTGTATTATATCAGGTTTTTAAATGTTTTATATGCCACAGATCCTTAGTGTTAAAAACTAGCAATGTATTTCCGTATATAAAGAGCGGATTTTACTGTTAAAAATTAACGTGCAAAATATTTAGTTTAGATCGTTACATTATATAACGTTCTTCTATGCATTAGTACACTATACCATTTGTACATAAATCATTTTTATTATTTATTTAAATTATCTTTTATATTAAGATTAACACTTTTTTTTTTACCCCCAGCACCCTCTGGGGGGACTCCAGACCGCAGTATGAAAATATCTGTATTAAATAGGGGCTGATTGAGATTGATCACGTTGGGATGATTGATCGGCTACCGATCATTATCGGCCGATAATCACGTTGGGATGATTGATCGGCGGTCTCTAAAAAGCCCGATCTCAAAAAAAACGATCTCAAGCTGATGACGCTGCCCTGAGAGGTTTGGCACGACATGCCGCGGCACCGTCTCAGTCTCTGTCTGGCGCGGGTAAAATAATTATAATGCTAAATGTGAGGTACTCACCTTGTGTGCGACGTAATTTCACAAACAGCGTGAGTGAATCACCGCGCACGTTCTCTCTTTCTCTCTCAAAATACGCAAATGGCTTCAAATCACTACATCGCGTCTGTCTATAAGCGAGCTGTCTGCACGCTGCACAGTTGACACAGGAATTGTCACTTGCACAATCGAGGCAGTGTCACCGTCACTAAAGTTTATACAAGTAAAGT